CTCCCTGACCACTTCCTATCTCTGCTGCAGACTCGCAGTCCCCCAGCTGCTCCTGCCTCATGGCAACAGTGGCACCAGCTCTCATCCTTGGTGAGTGACAATGGGGACGTGGTGCCACGGGGGTTGATGGCCCTGTGTGGGACCAGGACCGTGTCCCTTGCAGGTTGGTGGCTGGTGGCAGGAAGCAGAGCACAGGAACGTGAGTATGGGGACGGAGAGAATGGGGAGAGAGGGAGGGGAGTGTGGTCAGAGGACCATGAGATGGGCAGAGGAGGGTGTGCAGAGACAAGGCTGACTGCTGTCCCCTGTCCTAGTGCCCCGACCCTCCCTGTTGCTGCACCCCAGCCAGGGGGTGTCCCTGGGGGACAATGTCACCCTGCGCTGCCACCTGCCCCAGCCGGCTACACGAGTTGAGCTCTACAAGGAAGGATATTGGGGACTTAAAAAGCAAGCATACATGGACATGGTACAGGACATGGCTGAGTTCCCCTTGGTTAGTGTAAAGAAAGAAGATGCAGTGAGATATCAGTGCCAGTACTGGGTGCTGGAGCCACCAGGGACATCGGAGAAGAGTGAACCCATGGAGCTGGTGATGACAGGTGAGGGCACTGGGGAAAGCAGATGGCCCTGGGCTGTTCCCTCAGAGCTGTGTTCCATCCCTGTCTCCTCTCTGCACTCAGATCCCAACTATCCCCCAGCCAACATTTCCCTGATCCCCAAGGAACGTGTGGAGACGGGGACCAATGTCACCATCCAGTGCAGCAACCAGGAGTATGGGGGCACCATCTTCCTGCACAAGGATGGGCACTCAGCCCCTCTCCAGCACCAAAAACCCAACGGTGAGGGCACAGCCACCTTCACCCTTTTTGGGGTGACTGTAGCTGACTCTGGCACCTATAGGTGCTCCTACCGCTTTGGAGGCTTCTACCTTCTTTCCTCACCCCTTGGGGATAGCGTGACACTGGAGGTGACACCCGCACTTGCACTCCCAGGTAGGTCTGAGCCCCCATGTCGGTGTCCCTGGTGCCACTCCTTTCTGGCAGAATCTCTGCATCCCATCCCCATGGAGGTGATGTCCGGGGATGGGGACATGCACACTGCTGGACCCCACAGGTGATGAGAGGAGGTCCCATGGGAACCTGGTGGTGGCAGTGGTGAGGGGCTGCGCTGCTGCCCTCGTCTTTGGCCTTGGCCTCTACTTTGTCCTTGATGCCTGCAGCCTCTGGATACGAAGGGATGACAGCCCTGGTGGGGAAGACAACTGAATCACTTTGATACTCGAAAGAGCAGCTTTAGATCGCACCCAAGTATGCTCTGTTTCCTCTTGCACAGTTCTTATACCCCCCAGTCTCCCTCCCATACCTTTCAATCCCTATACCTCCCTCCAGCTGTGTCCTTCCTCATCTTCCATCCCGTATAGGTGGATCAATCCTCTTAACTTTCCCCTGCCTCCACTTCCATGCACTACTGATCCCCCCTGTGCTCTTTGGCACCCTCCATAACCCCCATCCCTCTCCC